GTGGATTTCAAAAAATCAATCAGGCAGATTTGACACGTAGCCCTAGAGTATGCATTAATCACTATTTGCACGATTTGTTTTCCATTATCCTCTCTACTATTGAGGATTTCGTGTTTCTTGGTTATCAGCATATATATATATATATATATATATATATATATATATATATATATATATATATATATATCTTGATAAAATCACACGGGAAAATGGAAACAACGGAGTATAGCTTTCGTCTTGAATAAAGCATGCGGACTTTTACATACAATCAACACCTCAACCTGCCAGGATTCGAACCCAAGGCCCACGAGCCCATGACTGTGACCGGGGAGTGCTACCTACTGGACCACCAGGATACTAAAAGCAGTCTAGACTCTGTTATATTTCACACAAAGCCTGTTCAACGAGCTTATGGCGCCGTGAACCTCTAATGGGGACTACCCGTATCAAGTAGGTGGTCAAGTAACGTTTTACCAAATCGGTTTCGAAACACGAGGAGCCATATATATATTTCATTAGCCCAATAAAGCACGGACCTACATACATTAACACCTCAACCGCCAGGATTCAGACCCCGGCTTACGAGCCCATGACTGACAGAGTCTAGGACTGCTTTTAGTATCCTGGTGGTCCAGTAGGTAGCGTTCCCCGGTCACAGTCATGGGCTCGTGGGCCGTGGGTTCAGATCTAACATGTAATATATATATATATATATATATATATATATATATATATATGGGTAATTGTCTAGATTACTACCCAATATAGGGGACTTTATTCCTCCATGGTATAGATATGTAGATGATGTTCTTTGTCTTTGGCCTAGAAACAGTGACCCAAGTATTACATTCAAAATTGAAAGAGAAATAAAGGGATGCCTTCCGTTCCTTGATATGCTTATCATTAGAAATGGCCATAACTATAAATTTAAGATGTACAGAAAGCCTACACAGGTAGACCCCTTCATACATTTTTTATAGAGTGACCTGGAGTCTACCAAAATGTCAGTTTTTTCTGCTATGTTTTTGAGATGATTGCGTATTTGTGACGCTGAATTTATTGATGAAGAATTGAAACACATTCGTTCCATTGCACAAAAACTTGGGTGCACTTCAGTGTTTGTTGATCATTGTTTTAAAAGGGTTAAAAAATCCTTTCATTCTACTCAAACCAAGCAAATTCCTCCACTTAAGAATACATTGACTCTGCCTTATCGCAATGAATTTGTCCCGTTAGTTCAGTCCCTTAAATTATTAAATATTAATGTTGTTTTTAAGTATGACTCAACCATTACCAATATATTAATCAAGAATAGCCCAACTTTGAATGTAAATTTTATTGTATTCCATGTAGCAAATGTAATGGAAATTATGTAGGACAGACTGGGAAAGCATTGCAACTCAGAATCAAACAGCATAAGTACAATATCAGAACAGCATCTGAAAGCAGTGCCCTGTTCGTTCATGTTAGGAATAATAATCATCCCATTGATTGGGAAAAAAGCTTAGAAGTGTGCAAATCATCATGTGTAAGAGAAGGACTTCTTGTTGAAGCTAGTTTGATTAGGGAATTAAATTCCATAAACCTTAGTGATGATCTGTACAAAACTGATAATATCTTACATAAATTTATTTGTCAGTGGCCCAAGGTTAAAAATGCTTTGAAAACCTTAGAGCTAGATGTTGGCTATATTTAGTGGGTCCCATATTTTTTACCTGACTTAACTTGACTAGTCACGTCGCCCTTTCTCTTAAGCTCCTCTATGTGTGTGTTGATGTTGGTGTGCGGATTAGTGGATGTCATGATTGTGACCTGACCTCATATTTATAAGGCCACCCTGTACATTTAAATTAATGTTAAATAGGGATAATTGTCGAAGTGTTACAAACCAACTGAAATTATTGCAGATTAAGGATATTTTTTTATTGTGTTACGACCGTGTCGTATTTTTTTATTTTTTTATGATTATTTTATATAACATGCTTCCATGTTGTTCCATATTATTCCTGTAATAATGTGTTATATTTACTATTATATAATCTAGTCACCTTACCTGTGCTGTTAAGGTTTTAACTGTTATTATTTGTTCAAGCCCATCTTATTTCTTCATTTAGTATTGTAACAAGCATTCTTTGTTCTCTAACGACCATCTGCATCGTTAAACGACCCACCTGAGGGTCGCACTAGCGGGAAAAGGCCCTATATATAGGAGTCACCAACTAACGGAGTTCAGTCCACCTTGTCATTCAGTTCACTTTTTTTGAGTGACACCCGTCACCTGTTATTTATACTTAAATTTATTCCTGTGTTGTTCCTGTCGCCACCAATGTGGTATGTCTATGTGAGGACCTATTCATGTCTCTTATGTGTCCATCAGTGCTTGCTTAGTTACATTTAAGTAATTCAGTGTTGTTCCACAATAGTGAATTTCAGTGTTAGTTATTTTATATGTTTATGCAGTGTTAACGTAATCCAATGCTTTATTTTTATTCTTTTGATGTTTCGATGTTTAGTATCATTTGTGTCTTAAAAGTTTCGATAGTGAATCAATTTGTTGTGACAGCCTACGAGGCTCTTTATTGTGTTAATATTTAATTTAATTAAATTCTCAAAGGTTTGCATTATTTATTTTTATTCCCTTTTAATTTACTTCACTTTTTTTGTTTGGTTACGCCTAGAACCAGGGGTATTAAAGTAAATTAAGAGACGGCGTAACAATTGCTATAACTCAACGAACATTAATACGTATGTGATAATTTCTTTCTGTTTCATTTAAAGTGTCTTTTACGACCATAATATAGCAATATGCTACCTAAAGTAGATTAGGTAAAGTTTGAGTAGGTTAGGTAAAGTTAGGGTAGGTTAGGTTCGACTAGATAAGGTTAGGGTAGGTTCGGTAAGGTTAGGTTAGGCTAGGTAAGGTTAGAGTAGGTTAGGTCAAGTTAAGTTAGGTTTTGTGTTAAAGTTTTCATATGCATGTACATTAATTTTTATTGTCAGAAGTTTCCAAAAGGATAAGTACATAGAATTTATCGCTAATCGGTAATGGACGAGTTAACGGTTCTGGGGAAAAATATTCAACACACGCTGTCACGCTGTTAGAAAAATACACTATATATTGTTTTTTAAAATAAAGTTGAAACCCTTGTGATCTAATCTTGATAAGTTAAAATATTTGTGTCACTGAGGAAATGGCCACCATATTGGCGATGAAGTCAGAAGTTAGAAGTAGACGACCATTAGTCGGGAGCTTATAGCGAGAGTTTGCAGAGCACGGCCAGTTCAGATCCCAACAGCCCTGTTCAGATACTGTTGGTTGTAGTGGTGTATTTTTAACGATGTGAGTCAAGAGGAATTTTGCAAGTGATAAAAATGCAAGTTGTAAGCCTCAATGTTTTCACTATCACCTGATCTGCTCACACGTCGTAGTATATACATGCAGAATATATCTAATTTAGATATATAACTCTCATACACTCCTCGTTGCTATTAAAGCATTAATATTCGTGAAGATATGGGTCACTATAGAAGTGATGACAGGGTCTGGACTTCGGTTTCAGAATGCTTGTTGCTGGGTAAACATTACAACATATTTCTGCTTTTAACTTGGTTATGCACACATTAACCATTATTATCTATCATTGTGGTTATTATTTCCTAGTCTAGAGTGCCACATAGTTGGCAACCCCTGTTGGAGTCTCACGCTGCTTAAGAATAAGACGAATGAGCAGGCTTTGTGTGAAATAAAAACAAAGCCTGGAATTGCATTTGTTGTCCTTGTAGTGCAGTGGCAGCGATCCTTGTTCACAGGTAGAGGTCCCTGGTTAGATTCCTAACTAATAATAATAAATAATAATAATAAACGGTTTATTAATAGCGTTGCAGCCGGTGGCTGAAAATATACAAACTTACATGTGATTTCGACATAATAATATACGTTTAATACATTTGCAGGGCTGTACAATACATAAATCAGGAGCTATTTATTATTTTAATAATAGATGGGATGGTGCTATTCTTATATCTATCAGTGCGGGCTCTTATGGGCTGAATTTTGGTGTAGTGGCGGACTGCGCGAGATGGGTGGGGTACTGCCGGAGGTAGTTGGTGGCGATGACGAGGATGGTGCAGTAGTCCACAACCAAACCTTGCTAGTGCGTGGTGGTGGAGGTCACTAAGGGATGGCATTTCCAGGGTGGAGAGAGCTTTGTTGTAGCTGGAGTAGTCTGCGCCGAGCATGATTCTGCAAGTCCTCTTCTGTACCTTCTCTAGCTGACGTTGTTGGGTAGAGTTGAGAGAAGACGACCAGGCTGGTGACGCATACGTTAGTTTGGGGAGAATACAGGCGTTGTAGATAGTCCTCAGCTCTGGCGTGGGTGCTCCAAGTAACCTGAGTCGTCGTAGCATGTAGAGCTGGTACGAGGCTGCCTTGTTAGTGTTGTTTACATGGGCCTTCCAGTACAGTTTGTGGTCTATAGTTACGCCCAAGAGTTTGGCAGACTGCACTAAATGGAAAGGATGGGTACTCACTGTAACTGCTGGAGCTTGCACTGGAGTGGTGGCGGTGTTGATGTGCATGACTACGGTTTTGGTGTGATTGATGGTGACCTTGTTCTCCATAGTCCATGCCTGTAACCTGTCCAGGGTGCCTTGCAGCGATGAGTAGTCTGGTGAGGTGTTGTCCACTGTAACCCCCACAGTGCAGTCATCCACGTACTTCCACCTGTGAGGAGTGTCCGATAGAGCGTCGTTAATCAGGATTAGGAAGCACAGTGGTCCCATTTTGGTCCCGGGAACACCGCAGGTGAGGTGTTGGAATGTGGAGACAGAACCCTAGTACCTCACTGCCTGATGACTCTCACTCAGGAAATCAGTGAGCCATAAGACCAGGTTGGTGGGCAGCCCTAGTGCAATGGCCTTGTCGATAACAGTGCAGTGATCAACAAGGTCAAAAGCCTTTCTGAAGTCAACAAGGGCAACTGTCAGTGATTTCTTACGTTTCTCCAGGTTTTTGTGCAGAAAATCCAGGAAACTAGCATTGTGACGTAGAGGAGGTCCTCATATTGCCAAATTGTTGTGGATCAATTGACTGATAAATAATAGCAAATGCCCATTCAAAAACAACTAGGTATGGGTATGGGGGTGATGGCAACTGGCCTGAGGTCACGAGTGGACTGTGTGGTCGGGACCTTGGGGATAGGGGTGACAAATGAGGTTTTTCATTCATTTTACGGATATTTTAGACACTTCATCTGGTTAGCCGTCATTACCTGGTGGAATGGTGTCCCAGCTTTTCAGTTAAGGGAAAAATGGCCGCCACAAATTCACACTTTAGGGTATTGTATGTTTATATACAATGTACATACAGTAGATGTCTGTGTGTGTAAGCAAATTAAAATTTTGCCAAATGGGAATATTTTTTATCTGTATTCCTACAATTTAATTGACACCAATTCAAATTGTATTAACATGTCCTCTGTTTTATTTAAGACTTTCTTTACCATAATAAGATAGCCAGATTAACCTAAAGTAGGTTAAGTAATGTTAGGTTGGGGTAGGTTAGTTTAGGTAGATAGGCAATGCTAGGTTATAGATTTTTTATGAACTATTCATCTACTATGTATAGGTATTATGGTGAACCTACACGATCGTGTATGACCATTATTACAGTATAATAGTTTAGCTAGACTGAAAGAAAAATATCACAAAAAGAACATAGTTTGCAAATTTAATGGATTGAGTTATAATAGTCAAATCACTTAACAGGAAGGATGGTGGTTGTTATAATGTCATTACTACGATTCAACAATTAAGTTCTATAAGGGCTTAACAGGGTTACTAATTACATTATTATATCAACAATTAAAAATAATGTGAGTTAAGACCTTCTGTGTAGGAGGTATGGTTTACTAGTTTCTTCATATCTACTGTGTATCGATGACGTCACATTTAAACAACTGAGGCCAAGACAGTTATCAGGACTGAAAGAAAAGTGCTGACATAAAGGTGTTAAATTATAAAGAGAAACATGTCTAAAACGTTTCCACAACAAGGACGATCAGTTGAAGGAACATGAGGAGACTAGAGTTGTGCCAGTGTTGTATTTGGTTGGTTATTGCTATCAAATAGGGTGTATTGTCCTCTATAGGGAAGGACATGAGTTTCATCAATAATGGTTAAGGGACACCATATTTAGAATTCTTAGTTAAAGTTATCTTTTAAGAGGTGATGTGAGAACAAAAGAAGTAATTCACATTAAAATGGCTCTAAAAGTGCAACTAAACTCACCCCAACGACACGAAAATGGTTCTCTGTTCAGTAAACACAAACAAAAAGTGGATAACGTATGGTTCCCAAGTTATTGAAGACGAATGTTCAGAAGCTCAAGACACAATACAGATAGACTGACAAAGTGGCCAGCAGCGAGGATCACGAACATTCCCTGGAATGTAAGAAAGTGTCCATCAGTTACCAAGAAATACGCATTGTAAAAACATTTTGATTCCTATGTGGTAGTTAAGCAGTTTTTTATTCGTTATGAAGACATAGATTATTGCCAAATACATCTAAATTCTGAGGATAAGAAAGAATTATTTACCCATATATTGCTGAGAGAGAGAGAAGTCTTGACTGTGATCTTGGTAGGAGCTCGATAACAAACAGTGGAGTTTGGCTCATCAGTTTTAAGCCAATGGAAGAATAGCCCAGCTTCCGTCATTGACATAATCCTGTTGGACGAAAAAGATAAATACATTAGTTAGATAAAAATTTATTGACGATAAGGATATAAAGCGCCACATGAAACTTATTTTGAAAATAATAATAAAATAAGAATTAATTATTGCACTGAATGGAATAAATATAATAAGTGTGATGCTATAAACAAACTTTATACTAAAAAATCGAACTTATGATACAACCTCGAGCGCTCTGAATCATTTGATCTCCATGAGGAAACAATATTCATTGTCATCATCATAATAATTTTCCGGACATTTTAGACACTTCATCTGGTTTGCCGTCATTACCTGATGGGATGGTGTCCCGGATTTTCAGTTAAGGGAAAAATGGCCGCCACAGATTCATACTATAATTTCTCCCATAATTTGTTTGTCTTACACAAGGATGGTATAACATTGTTTGATACATTCAGAGTAGTAGATTAAATTATATTGATGTCAACTACAAATTATATCCTTCAGTATTTTGAAGACTGGGGTTGTTTACAACGGCTTCTGAAGAAAAAAATTGTAACAACGGCAAAAGAGCATAAGAACATAAGAAAATAAGTAGTCTGCAATAAGCAAGTTGGCCTGTGCAAGGCAGCTCCTGTCGAGAGTTACTACCACTCTCTATCATACATGAGTCAATCTAGCCTCCTTTTAAGACTTTCCAGCGTTCCAGCATTTACTACAAAATTACTAAGCTTGTTCCATTCGTCCAGCACCCTATTTGTAAGCCAGTACCTTCCTATCTCCCTCCTAAACATAAACTTACTCAACTTAAATATCCTGCTCGGATATTATAAGAACTGTATCTATATCTCCTTTATTGATTCCTTTCACCCACTTAAATACTTCTATCATATCTCCCCGCACTCTTCGTCTTTCTAGGGAATGCAAGTTTAGTTTCTTTAAACTATCTTGATAGGGAAGGTATCTAAGTCCCGGAATCATTTTCGTTATTCTTCGCTGTACCGATTCCAGTGAATTGATATACATTCTATAATAAGGGCACCAGAACTGAACAGCATAATCGAGGTGCAGCCTGACTAGCGCAAGATATAGTTACAATATGACCTCCGCAATCTTATTACTTACACTTCTAGATAAAAAACCTAATACTCTGTTTGCCTTATTTCGAACATTAACACACTGTTTACTAGGCAGTAGGTCCGGGCTTAAAAGTACTTATCAAGGTTGATGTTGTTAAGGCTATATACATTGACAGTATATGTTTTTCCAATATTAAGTACGCTGCACTTGCTGGTGTTGAATTTCATTTGCCATTTTTCAGACCACCCCTGCAGTTTATTTAGATCCTCCTGTAATGCATTTGCATCCTGCCCTGAATTAATCTGCCGACCTATTTTGGTGTCATGCGCAAACTTGATTATGTCACTGCTGATCCCAGTATCTATAGATCGTTTATGTAGATTATGAACAAGAGTGGGCCTAGTACTGACCCTTGGGGAACCCCACCGGTTACACAGCCCCACTCAGATTTAGCACCATCTACTCTGACCCTCTGTGTTCTAGCGGTGAGCCAAACGTGAGCCAATTGCAGGGATCTGTGAGGGTTAATGCCTTAGGAATGAACCAATGAGAGAACCTGTGAGACGTGACGTCATGAAGAAGTGGCTCCCTTTGTGGGCGACACAGTTTGAAAAAGACAGTCAGGTCTTGGATAGAGTTAAGTGTGGCATGTGGGTGTCATCTCCACACTTGGCGGGATATAATGTGAGTACCTTTTAGGTTTTATCCGTTTCACGAAATGTATTGTGATTCATGTGACCCCTGGTAAGCTAGCTAGGAAGATTAGTTATTGTTTTGTTGTGTAACTGTTAATTTTTAGTAACGTCGTTATTAAATGAAGAACTGTTATGATTAGTTCTCAATTCCCTTGTGTTGAGTAAAACATTGCCATGCATGTCTTTGGTATTATGCAGTGATATAGTGACCCATTAGAACTAACATAGTCCTACTCCCAGCTATCAGCCTTCCTCTACCTATCCACCTCC